ACACACACACACGCACGCACATACACACACACGCACATACACACGTGAGTGCGTGTGTGTCTGCGTGTCCTTACTTATCACATAGTACATAGGAAGAATCTCGTGGAGGAAAATTTGGAAACGAAATGAGAAATAAAAGAAGTGGAAAGTTAATTCCTTTTTCAACGATGTACAAAATGACAGCTTTGAATGCATTTTTTTCAAAAGCGAAGTGGCCATAAATTGACTTGGAAAAGCGCAAGTGGGAAAAAAAAAAAAAAATGAAATTGACTTCGTAATCGTTTACAAAGCCAGTATCGTTAAAGATGTAATCACCGTAAACAAAGTTAATAAAAGAGACCATCATAGAATGGTATCTTACAGAGTTAAAATTTGACTTTAAAATTGAGTGATTCTCAAAGAGAATACATATCCTAATGAGGTCAGAGAGAACATCATCGAATTTCCGGTGGAAAGCAAAAACAGACGCCAGTCTTTGTGGAATAATTAAATACAGAAGATATCCATAGGAAATTAGTAACTATAATGAAGGAAGCAGCAGAGTAAACAAGGAAAGCAAACGGAAGTCGCAATAACAAAGGGAGATAATCAAAATCAACAATAAAACTGGAGAAAAAGAGAAGAGCTATCATCGTAAGCGCTAAGAGATAAACGTGGAAATGGAGAATTAAACAAACTAATCAACAGAAAATGAGACAGTGGGTCACATACGCACATACCCTCCTATACACCAAGATTGACCAATGGTAAGAGAAATCAGAAGCAATTAACAACCAACCTGAGTGTACTAAAATGGATGTAACGGTCGGGCCTAACTTATATAGAAGAAAAAAGAAAATTAGCTTCACTTGAACCAGTTTCATTTGTCGGACGTAGTAGAGAGAACATCAGGTGTTCATTCAGATCGAATAATTAACCAATCAAATGGTTCTGTTTAACTCTCAAAACAGATATTTTTTTTTCAAACCTATAATTAATTCTACAACATATAAAAAGCGAGCTAGCAAACCGAAAAAGTGAGTGGTACAAAATTCACTCGCGTCAAAAAAAAAAAAAAAAAAAAAAAAAAATAAAAAAAAAAAAAAAATAAACAACAACTTAGTACTGCGGTGACTTCAAAGGAACCCGATTGACTGCTCGTAGAAGACTCATAATTGACAATTGCTTTCTTGGAAACAATAGTGATTTTCCAAGCGTAGCTTAGATGTGGCACAAGGCCGAAAGTATGGGGCACCCAGTGAGGATCGATCTCACTACTCAGATGTAATTGTTCTAGCGAGACAAGTTTGCTAACCATTACACCACCTTGAGGTGCCCAAAACCTTTTCTAAGCGCTGCGGCACAAGGCCGAAAGTATGGGGCACCCAGTGAGGATCGATCTCACTACTCAGATATAATTGTTCTAGCCAGACAAACTTGCTAACCATTACACCACCTTGAGGTGCACCTTTCTTGGAAGCAATATACAGACAACTAGGGTGGATAAATGCACGCACACACATCTATATAAATATTTATTAAGATCAGTTGAACTGTCTGAGGATCACTTTAAGCATGAAACTAACAGTAACATTGAGATTTGTGTCTCTCAGAATATCTTGGGTTGCATATTCCCATCCCTCGACAAACATATATAAAAAATCTACACATTCAGTTAAAAATAAAAAATAAAATAGACATCCTTGTTTGATGACTAATAGAAGAGCCGAAAGCGCTTGGATATATAGAACATTTGGACAGTTTTTTTTTTTTTTTTTTAATTAAACACTATTAATTACATTTACCGACTTGAATATCCGAGAAATTACGTAGAAAATATGCATTCTCCAACAGGAATCTATATCTAAGTGGCATATCATGTCAAATGAAATGACGGTTCCGTATAGGACACATGTTCAATTCCTGTTGGAGAACGCATATTTTTACGAAATTTCAGATATTCAGGCCTGTAAGTGTAATTAATACTGTTTAATTAAAGAAACAACACATTTACTTAAATAAATTATATTTATTAAAATAACATATAAGTAGAAAATATATTAAATAATTGTCGGACTTAATCCATTTCATAATATATATATATATATATATATATATATATATATATATAATGATCTACTTTTTGTTGTTACTGGAAAATTTTCTTAATTTTAATGCCTTTAGAACGAAACTGCTCTGTTTTAATCGCCCGAGAGACCCGTTTTTACCTTCCATCAGTATGGCTGATGCTAACCTCCAGGTGAGTGTTTCGTTGCACCTTCACGGACTAACGTTTACCGCTGACGGGAAGTGGAAAGATTATATTGAATCAATTTCTAGGTCGGCTGCTAGGAATATTGGTTCTCCGCGTCGTGCTAGACAATTTTTCTCGCCAGAATCTATCTTATATATTTATAAGTCTATCTTTCGTTCATGGTTTGAATATTGCTGTCATATATGGCCTGGTGCTCCTGCTAGATATTTAGAGATTCTTGATAAAATCTAAAGAAGACTTGTAAGTGTTATTGGCCCTGATCTGGCACCTCGCTTTAATCACTTTCCCGCCACTGTAATGCAGCCTCTTTGTATCTTTTCTATAAATATTTTCATGGTAATTGTTCCGATGATCTTTCCTCTTTGGTACCTAAACTTTATGAATTTAAGCAAAGTACTAGATCAGCAGCAAGGATTCATCATTTTACAGTTGAAATTGCTAGATGTAACCATAGGTTCTACACAAACAATTTCTTCTATCACACTTCTCGCTTGTGGAACTCTTTCCCGGCTTCTTGCTTCTCATTTAGCTTTGATTATCAAAAATTTAAATGCAATATCAATCGTTATCTATTTTCTTCTTAATTCTTTTAATTTTCTCTGCCCTTAATAGTGTTTTTCTTTCATATTCTTTTACATTTAGTCACCCCTTGTGTCTTAGTGGCTTTATTGATTTGCATGGGGTGAAATGATTAAAAAAATATATGTTGTTGATTTATTTAAGATAGGATGATCTATTACTGTTTGTCTCTAATTTGTATTTAGATACATTGTATTCGTTTACAATTTTTCTTGTTGAATCGTTCAAATATAAAGGATCCATTATTATTATCCATTATTGTACACAATTAGATTACAATAAAATATGTATTTTATATGAATACTGCTTTATAAAAATTGAGATGTAGTAGAGTGGGGGCCCCATATCATAGATTCGGGGGTCGCACGAGGCCTTTGTACCGGATTTGGTTTCTGAAGTTCCACTGATCAAGATGGTAGAGGACGTCCATCTGCAATTGACAATCAACATCTGAAAACACTAGTCGAATAAAACCCTCGTCAAAAATATCAGAGAAATTTCTGTGATAATGGGTGTCAGCATTTCAATAGAATCGGACCATCTCCAGAAAATTGGCAAGATAAATGGGTTCGGCATGAAAGTCAGTGAAAGTCAACGTGTGTTCGATGCTGCGTCTGTAATATTCAAATGATCCATTTCTTGATTGAATAGTGACCTGCGACGAGAAATTGATCCTTTATAACAATTGTAAGCGTTGCTCAATGGTTTGACGAAAGATCTCATCATTTCCCAAAACCGAAATTGCACCACAAGAAGATTACGGTGACTTTCTGGTGGTCTTTCATTGGCGTTATCCATGATAGCTTTCTGGAATCTAACCAAAGCATCACTACCGAAGATTAATGCCAGGAACTGGATGAAATGCAGATTCACTTAAGTAAAATGCGACCAGCAATGTTTAATCGACGATGTCCAATTCTGCTTTATGACAATGCTCAGCACATTTTGCCAAAATGCCAAAATGTCACTGCAGACACTTTGGATAGGAAACTTTGTCACATCCACCATATTCTCTCGATCACTCGTCCATTAAATACCGTTTTTGGAAGCATTTGGCTATTCTTTAAGCCAAAAGACATCCCATTGCTACAAAAAGGTGCAGAAACTGCATTCACAGATTTCTTTGTATTCAAACGATAAAGACTTAAACAAACTTGTAACTTGATGGCAGAAAATGTATAGATGTTCGGGGTTTCCATTATATTATTTATATTAAACAAACTAATAAATATTACATTTTTTGTTAGATTTTAACTAAACTCCTAACTATGCTAACACATATTTTTCAGAAAATTTTCATTATTCTTTATTGATTATTTTTTCTTTTGAATTGCGACTGATGTCTAACCTTCTAAGAACGAATTAATGCTTGACATATTTATTAAATCTGGTCAACTGAAATTGTTTGCAATTACATTTGATCAGATAACAGCATTGATTTTACTTGAAGTCTGCGTATTCGAAAAATTAAATGAAGCGTTAAATGAAAGACAACTTTAATACGCGGTGGAAAGAAACAACGCAAGCGGGAAGGTAAAGGACGCAATGACGAGTTGTTTTTTTTTGTTTTTTTTCTCCAGTAGCTCTTTACGATCATAGTTGAAAGTAATATTGGCATTCAACGTCTTCAGCAGTTTTGTCTGTGTTTTATATTCCAAAGACATAGTCTATAACATCTCTTAGCTCACAGGAATCTCTTTCGCAGACTCGATACTTGGCATTGGAGTTTCTGGAAAGTAATCCTCAGACAATATCAATGAGGAATTCATATACAGTCTACCGCTCACGCGGAAACACACGCACACACATAAACATATTTAGATAATTATTAGGATTAGCGAATTCAAACAGCGAGCTAAATGAGAGAGAGAGAGAGAGAGAGAGAGAGAGAGAGAGAGAGAGAAGATTGTTGTTGTGGCATTGTTAGGGCCAGAAATAAAGACTCAAAGAGAGGAATTGAGTTAAACAAATATATTAACAGAAACAGTAACACAAACATGTACAAACGAGAGTGTTACAGCAAGGATGTTCGGTCTGACTGTCAGAGCTGACTGCTGGAAACTTCTCCCTCCAAAAGGCAGTAGCTGCTCCTATTTATAACTGGAAGAGTCCATGCGTGCGTGGGTAAATTACCATAACAATTGTGTTGCACCGATCATCCATTTAGGAAGGGTCTGCTTGATTTGAAAGTTACCATTGGGAATTCTTTCTTTCTTTCTTTCTTTCTTTCTTTCTTTCTTTCTTTCTTTCGTAGGAGTTGAACTTTGAATTTCGACCACTAAGTCAAATGAATGGGACACAAGGTAATCTGAACGAGGATTAGAAAGACTGTGTTGCCTCGGTGTTATAAATGGATCTGCTTTGAAAATCGTAATTCGAAATTCTGGCGTTTACGTTGGTTCGAACACAATCAACTGTCGTTGCCATAAGGAAATAGAAACAGAATTATTTCAGTCACTAGGCAAGTTTCTCCACCATTTTCTTTTTTAATAGAAATTAAATTTTGGTCGGTATACAGTCAAAGCGAAAAGTGAAAGACTGAAATCTGTTTCCCAAATCGGGAAGCACTTGGTTGTTAGTGTGAAATGAGTATTTCGATTCCTTCTTTTTTTTCTTTCTTTTTATGTGTCATGTCCTTTCAGGACGTAGGCGATCATGGCTCTCCACCTCCATCTATCCCTTGAAGCTCTCAGTAAGCTCCTTCCCTCTGCTTCCTCCCCACAGAGCACGTTCTGTCATCGACCTGCTCAAGCTCGTCAGGTATGTAACGCGCTGTTTTCCCTTGTCTCTGTTCCCCTCTATTTGACCCGTGGGTATCAATTTCTCCAGGCCCTCCTTCCTCATTATGTGTCCCGAAAACTTCAGCTGCCCCTTTCTGATGTTAAGTATAAGCCTTCTCCTTCTTTGTAACCTATCTATGACCTCATCGTTGCTCACATGCTCGGTCCATGATATCCTTAGCATATATTCCAGCCACATGGCAGGCATTTCAACACACACACACACACACACACACACACACACTCCGCTCAATATATATATATATATATACATTAATGCATGTTTCATTAAATAATATAGACAAGTTTTGTCTGTTTATTTTAAGTAAGTTACTGTCATATTGTCTGATAAGCTTAATAACATTATCATTGAAAGACGAAAGGAAATCACCATATTGATACATGTTTAAATCCACTCTAAGCTTTCGGCTTACATAAGCCATTATCAAAGATGACAATTATATTTTAATATATCAAACAGCACTCGGATGAAACAATAATGATAGTCTGTTTTTGTTGCATGAAAAATTTCAAAGCAACGGCTAACTCGTGTATACGAGACGCGGAAGCGAAAATCGCGTCGCAGCTCGTGACGTCACACATGACCACGCGAAGTTGAAAACGAGAAGTATTAAGTATTGGTATATATATATATATATTGAGTTTCCCTCTGTAAAAGGACTCTTTATAGATTTATCTATTTTAATCTAGAAGTTAATCTATATTTAATTCTAATCTGTTTTATCTATTATAATTTAATCTATAATTATTTTTAACATATATAAGTCTATCTAATCCTTTATATTTTAATCTATAATTAATCTATATAATCTTTAAATTTAATCTTGAGTTTAATCTATGTATTACCTTTTATTAATCTGTTATAAGATTTTCCCCTATATTGTAAAATTTTATTTTGGGCGATTACTTATCTATTTATTTTAATTTCTTCCTTTATCTTATCATTCTTTATATTCAGGTTTTTCTTCTTTATATACTAATAATGTCTTAATTCTTTTAATTTAATATTAAATTCCTTTGTTTAATATTAAAATTAAATAATAGTTTCAATATTAAATTCTAATTTTTCTTTTATCTACAATCTTAAAAATGTTTCTTTTTCTTAACTTTAATGATTGTATTTTCGTATTTACTTTTTTTCAATTTTAATTTTTTCCTTTTTGAACAAGAGATAACATTTTAAATATCCAGTGTAACCCGGATATAAGAGAGTTGTCGGGACCGGAGAAGAAGTCTCTTATATCCGGGTTTCTCTTATATCCGGGTTTGGTCTATTTTGTTTAGGTAAGTATGGCTCTAATTTGGGACCAGAGAAAATCTCTCTTATATCCGGGTTTCTCTTATATCCGGGTCTCTTAAATCCGGGTTACACTGTAGGTCATTGTTAATCTTCAACCGGTTTTAATTTCTGCCTAGACTTGTATATGTTATTTCTGTCTCCCTCTCTCTACTTGGATGTTTTTTTTTCTTTTTTTTTTCTATTTCCCTCTTAAATGCCTTTTACCTTATTTGTTGTTTGTTTGGGAATGGCTAACCGTAGCTCATTATGTTTTCCTCAGGACATTTTCCGCTCTCCGGTGCTGTAAGTAATCCATTTCTTATCTCCCGCGATCGTTCTTTTCTCAAAACTAATCGATTTCCTTCATTCGCGCAGAGAATTACAGTTGGTAAAGCCGCCCGTTAAAATTTCCCCGTTAAATGGTGACGCACCCCAAAATCGTAGCGATTCCCCTATCCGAGTTTTGGAAAATGCCATATAACGCTCACCTAAGACGTATGGAGTATCTCAGCGATGTCCCGTGTCATGTAACCTGGATAAGTTTTAATCATCGTTTCTATTTAGTAATCATCAACCGGTCTTTTCGGAACGTTCTCGATCTTTCAGATCAAACTTTCCACTTCTGAACCGATCGAACCACTTACGAACAATACATTCAGCTCTGGCACCATCTCCATAAATGGCACATATCTTTTTTACTGTTTGTTCAGGATTTTTCTTCTGGAAGAAAAGATCACCAAATGAAAAAATGCATCTAATTTTCCTACATTTTCACTTTTAGCGAAAAAAAAATTCAAATTCAAATTCCACCCACGAAAGACACGTTGAAATATTACTTTCGGAATATGTATATTTGTCCTTTGTTCGTTGTGATTTAATGGATAGCGGCTCGGAATGAGAACTAGGAGAACCGAGTTCGAATTCCAGTCGAATCCATTACATTCACTTACGCGCAATTACCCTTGGGAAAGGTATGAATCCATCTTCTCCCATCAGCTGTGTGTTAAATAGCAGGACAGACTGAATTCTATATCCTTGGTTGCCAACTGGTCTACCGCAGAAAGATAATGGCAACCTACTGCCTAGTCAATCATGGATCGAAAGAGACATGATCGTCCAATCGTGTATCACATATGGCACTTAACAGAAAGAGTCAACAGTGATTTAGATGAGAAAATTGTGGAGAGACATGATCACCCAATCGTGTATCATGTATGGCACTTGACTGACTGACTATTGAATAAATCTCTTCTTATTTATAGATTATAACAATTTCAAGTCTTTTGCATGAAAGCAGTAATGAAAATTTTCGAGTGCATTTTTAAAAAAATCAATTCACTCCAAGCAAGGTGATAATGCCACTAAGACGCAAGGGGCCACTGGGAGTTAAAGAGAATGAAAAGGCTTTAGAAGAAACCGGAAAGCCAAATTCAGAACAAGAAACAAGGGATAAACCTCTATTCCTGTTCATAAGACGGGGAGGAGTATGAACCGGATGATAGGCGAACCTATCTACTCCTATTAATAGTTTTGTACTCTTTCCATCATATCAATCAATCAATCAATCAAGCTTCCGTTGACCAAATGTAAATGTTGGTGAATGCTGCCATAATTCTTGCATTCAGTTCATCTTTGGTGTTACAAGGAGTTTTTATTGATTTCTCGATCAACTACGCCACGCACGTAATAATCAAGGGTGGGTTTCAAGTTAGGAGTTAGGTGGCCAGATGTAAGCTGTGATGTGGTCGCAGAAATTATCTGACAGTCATGCTTTTGTTTTTTTTGCTTATGTGGCATGGTGTAGAGTCCTCTTATTCGACAGAGAGTCTTCCAGCAGCCACCCTCTTGACACAGGGCAACACTATCCCCTCAAGGCACTTGTTGTAGACCTCTGTGTTGAATCTGAGACCCACACCAATTGTGGGAACATGAATGGAGGCATAACGTTGCCATCACTAGTGATTACTCCAAACACCTTCGTAATCGCCATTAGTTTCATCCAACTCTTTCCGAATCCTCTACACTGTCCTCAGTTGACACCCAAACACACTGAAATGTTCGCATTGGGGCTTTCCGACGCGAATACCAAGCAGTGCAGCATGGCGTTTCCAAACTTCTGTCGGAGTGAATTGCATAATGGTGCTCTTTTTGTCGCAGACGATCCCCAACTGAGACTACTATACTGTGCAGTCGACATCAAAAACAAACAACGCGCGAAATTAAAAATATAAGATGGCGACAATTTACCCATCACGCCCATATATATATATATATATATATATATATATATATATATATATATATGTATATATATATATATATATATATATATATATATGATGAAAAAATCTTTCCGACTTTTTCAAAACAAAAATGAAATCGAAATGTTTTTGTTGTTATAGTTACATTAAAAAATCCAAATTTAAAAAGATAGACGCTTCTGTCTAAGCCTTTTTTTCTGGTTAATGTAAATTACCTTTATAGTAAGGGTTTTTTTTAGCATGAAACAGACTGTCGCCTTTAAGTGTTGACTTCTATGTTCACTTTTATATATATATATATATATATATATATATATATATATATATATATATAATTAATTCATCCAGTCTGATAGAAACCTCAACAGAATGCAGAAAGCACTGGACTGCCGTTTCGTCCTATATTTGGGACTCATCAGCAATGCGCTTCCACTACTGAGAATTGAAACCCTGACAGTTAGGTTGTCAAGCATCATCATACCAACTGTTCCAATGGGCCTCGGTGACGAAGAGATTGCAAATCAGACTCAATATAGCGCCGCTCGCTCACATATTCCGTGGTGGAATCATACTGAGTTCTCTGTAACCATAGGACTGTGCCCCTGGAGCCACGACTAATCTCACCAAGCCGCTCACTCTACAGCATTAGAAGCCGGTTCAAGCGATGATATACACAGATAGTAATTATTAGGAGGATTTGATAATTATATTTTAATTAATACATCGAGTCTGATAGAAACCTCAACAGAATGCAAAAAGCACTGGACGGCCGTTTCGTTCTATATTTGGGAGTCATTATTCATAAAATGAAATTCATAGTAGTCAATCATAAAGCAATAACCCTACCTGTAATTGTAGGGTAAAAAAACGAATGTCCAGTAATAGAAATGTGTATGACGGAATAGGTGG